AAGGGGCCCAGGAGAAGAAACCATAATAAAAGAACTTTGTGGCCTTGTATTCTCATGGGTATTTACCTCCCCTTATAGTGCAAGAACTTTGTTCCAGAATATTGCTGAGGAACAACACCCTTCTTGCTCCCTGGCCATCTGGTTCATGGTGGGAACACGTCTCTTCCCAGGGTTGGTTCCCATGGTCATGTCTGGATAAGCCACACAGTCTTTCATGTTTTGTTAAAATGATCACAGAATCCCCCCTTTTTGTGGGGGAGGGTACTGCAAACTCAGGGAACTCTCCAGATAACCTGTGTATTTGAACTGGCACTTGCTCTCAGTGGGCTTCCCTGTGGGGCAGGCTGGTGTGGGGAGACCTGGTGGTAAGGGCCAGGCATGCAGCACTTCTTCATCACTGCCTTTACAGATAGGAAACAGGACATGGCTTTCTTCCCACAATGAGCCTGTATTTTTATATATTGCTCAAAAAAGAGAAATCTGTATACTTAGACCAGTTTATTCCAAAGTCACATCATCTCCCGCTTTTCAGAAATACTTCTAGAAAATGACAACTGTGGGCCTGCTTTATGATGTGCATACTATGTGCATATGTGGGCAGGGGCAGGGAGGGTATATAAGAAAATGAGTTTGGGGGCCATACAGCCAACCCGGTTATATCAAATGTTTACTTTTTATTCAGAGTGGGACATCTAGAAGCCATATTCCAAATAATTAGGAGTTAATGCCATTACTGACGTACTCAGGAGAGGGACAAGACTCAGAAGACATTGGTTTTAGTTCCCATTCTACCTCTCACTGGCTTTCTGTGTTCATCTCCACACCAACAAGGAGCTGGAGGGTAGAGAACTGTGCCTCATTTCTAATTCTTGCTGCTCAGAGAGTGCCTACAAACCAGGCACTCCACAAATGCTTGTTCATTGACTACATTATGTCGATCCACATTTCCACATATTTTTGGTAAAAAAAATAGTGATCTAATATTACAATTTAATAGGGTTCAACCTAATGTTTCCACTCTTATTTTGCCCATATACTGTGTAGATTTGCTTTTCCCTAAATGCTCTCACATTTCTTTGTCCTATTTTTTGATTGGAAAGCCCTTTCTCCTATCCCATATCTACCATATTCCTTCCCTGAATATCCTTAATCACTCATTCCCTACTCACGTAGCATTTGCTAGATAGTATCTCTGTGTGTCCTCCTCTGAATTATAGGCATAGCGTATTTCCCCTGTGCCTACATAAATATTTGTCGTAATGTTGAATTACTTATCCGAGGATAAGTCAGTAATGCTCTGAACCCCAGTTTCCTTCCTAGAGAAAGAAGATAATCCCTTCCTAGCCAACATAACAGAATTGTTAAGAGTTAACATATGAGGGCTTAAAATGATTAATAGTAAAGCCTCCAGGTTGTTCTTCCTATGGGGATGTTTGAAAATGTTAAGTGCTAGTGATAGGCAATTTGTTTTCAGCTCAGTCTCAAGGAGAAATTGACTCTTCCCAGCCAGAAAAGTTCAAAAGACATATCCAGTTGACAGAATGAAAAGAGAATGTTGATCACACAGGGGGAACACATAGTCAGTGAGAACACAGACACAGAGTCCTCACGTTAAAGAGAGACCCAGAACTGCCACATGGCACAGTCATTCCCTTTGACTAGTAACACAGGCACACAGCACTTGACAGACTGAACTGAAATAAAACAAAGGCTGCATTTGAAAGCAACCTAAAGACTGTGCGGAAAAAAAAAAAAAACTGTACTGTGTGCACAAATGAGAAACTTTTGGGGGAATAATTAAAAGAGCATTGAAATAAGGAAAGGGGAGGAGGTATGGATGGAAGCAGAGAGGGTGATGTGAGGGCTAAGAATACCACAGGACACATGAGAGAGGATCATAAGTACTGAGAGAAGGTTCTAGACTCGGTGAGAAGGGGCAGACCACTTCCTTCGGCATACTAGTTAAGGGGTATTTCTTGGTTCCTAATAAGGAGAAACTAGAGACTGATAATAAATGTGCAACTTTTGGCAAGTTTCTAAATCTTACTTTAAAAAACTGGTACTAATAGTTCCTATATTGTAGAGCTGGTATAGATATTAGATAGATGAGATATTGAACATAAATACACTTACAAAGTTCCCAACATATAGGGAGTATATAATACACACTAGCTCTTATTAGTTAATATTGTTTGGGAAACTAGATGGTTGCTCATGCTCAAGTAATCCTTTTACTATCTTCATGAGTTCTCCAGTTGAAAAACCCTTCAGAAGGAGTCCTGAATGATGTGCTTGACCTATTATAAGCAAAATCAGGAGGCTGAATGCCTTGAGGCGGCAGTATCCATAGACAGTTCTGTGATGATGGAAGCGTTCTCCATCTGCACCATCCAACTCAGTAACCACTAGCCATGTGAAGCTATTGGGCATTTGAAAGTGCTGCTAAGGAAAAAAAATTTATTAATTTAACCCTTTGCACTCGGATGTCGAGTGTGACTCGACACGGTTAGCATCGGTAGCAGCTCACAGCATGAAAAATTATAGAGATTAAAATTACTCTTTGAATGTATCAATAATTCGAAATATAAAAAAATCCAAATAAATAAATTTGTATGAAAAGAAACTCCAGTTTTTTATTCTACTGCTGCGCTTTGTAAAATCTGGGGTATTTAAAAACTTAAATCCCAAGTAGAATAAAGGAATCAAGAAAAAAGCAAGTGCAATGGGTTAATTTTATTTAAACTTAAATGGACCCATGCCATATTGGATGGTGTTGCCTTAAAGCACATTACCCCCATGCATACCAAAAAACATTATGTAGAAAGTCACTGTGGCCTAGTGGGGCTCTGGATCACATGACCTGGGTCTGACTACCTTTTAGAAGCTAAATTATGTTGGCAAGTAACTCAACCTCCTAGGCCTCAGTTTCAACTTTAGTAATACAAAATTGATAATAGTATCTATTTTGTTGGCTTATGAGGATTAAATGAAAGTGGTTCCCAAAGTTTCACATGCATTAGAATCACCTGGAAGGCTAAGACACTGATTGCTAGGTTCATCCCCCAAATTTTTAATTCTGTAGGTCTGAGGTAGAGCCAGAGAGTCTGCATTCCCAATGAGTTCTCAGGGGATACTCATGTTGCTGGTCTGGGAACCAAACTTGGAAAAACTAAGTTATGAGACTTCAGGATGGTGCCTGATGCATAGTGAGAACTTGATAGTGTTAACTATTGTTTTATGATAAGCATCTTTATGGTATGCATTAGGAGGGTTTCTGGAAGAAAATCACATTTATTAGAAATCTCTAGCCCATTTTCTGATATTCCTTTGATAAATGTTTATGAGGCACCTACAAAGGGCAAGAACACCCCCACCGTGTTCTGAGTGACCAGCTGTGGGTTTGAAGTAGCATTTGTTAGTAGGTGGAGCTACAGAGCACCAAACTACCTGACCATCATTATTACCATCTGAAGTATTTTTCACCATTTCAACTCTTTGCAAAGCACACATAAAAGAACAATTGAAATCACCTTTTGAGGTGAACCACAGATTTCTCTCTGATTCTTCATCTCTATTGGAAAGATTGTGAGGGACCTGTAAATGATAAATGGAAGGGATGTGAAAATAGATCCAGGTTCCAGCCTGGTTCTTTTTGTCAACTTCTTCAGATCACTGGGTGTGATGGTAATTTTGTGTGTCAACTTGACTGGGTTAAGGGATACCCAGCTAGCGGGTAAAGCATTACTCTGGGTGTGTCTATGAGGCTGTTTCTGGAACAGACTAGCATTTGAATTAGACTGAGTAAAGAAGATCCACCTCATCAATGTGGGCGGGTGTCATCCAATCAGTTGAGGCCCCAAATAGAAGAAACTGGAAGGGCACATTTGCTCCTTTCTTGAGCTGGGACACTCACCTTCTCCTGCCCTGGAATTTATTAGTTCCTGCTTCTTTGGCTTTCAGACTCTGGGACTTAGCCTAGTGGCCCCCAGGTTCTTAGGCTTTTGGTCTCGGACTGAGAGTTACATCATTGACTCCCCTGATTCTTCAGCATTTGGCCTTGGACTGAATTTACACTATCAGCTTTCCTGGGTCTTCAGCTTGCAGACAGCATATCATGGGATTTCTCAGCCTCCACAACTGCGAGCCAATTCCCCTAAGAAATCTGCTCTCATATTGCTCTCTATATCCTATTGGTTCTAATTCTCTGGAGAATCATGGCTACTATGCTGGACAAGACGGTTAATCCTTATGGGCCAATTTTGGAGTTGTGCACTCAGGTCACTTTCAAAGAATAACAACAGGATGCACACAAATCCAACCTTGCCAGTGCAAACTTTGCTCCTTAGAAGTTATCACAAGTTATCTGTTTTTCTGAGATTCTTTCACAGTACCTTTAGTTCTTTGGAGGAAAGGTGTTGCAGGGAGTAAAAATCACACAGACAGATACACAGACAATGGTTTGTTCCACCTTTAATTTTGTCACTTTCCAGTATTCATAATCCTTTCAAAGTTTCCTTTGAAAGGGGGAAAAAAGTCTTGTAAGAAATATGCTCAAAGAGGCTCTAGCACTATAGATATCCCATTCCAATATAAGATCTAAAAGGCAAATTGTTTTCTTTTCCCACCATCCAGGTTAGCTTCAAAAATCCTAAACAGAGTCTTTTAATTTGGATTCTGAGATGCAGTTTTTTGTGGTTTTGTGGATTTATATCTGTTTTGATACAAGGACCATTCTACTTCTTTCCCTTAAAGAAACATGAGCCAGGCACAGTGGCTCATACCTGTAATTCCAGCCCTTTGGGAGACAGGTGGGAGGATTGCTTGAGGCTTGGAATTTAAGACCAGCCTGGGCAACATAGCAAGACCCTATCTCTATAAAAAATAAAAAAATTAGCTGGGTGTGGTGGCACACACCTGTAGTTCTAGCTACTCGGGAGGCTGAGGTGGAAAGATTGCTTGAGCCCAGGCATTCAAGGTTACAATGAGGTATGACTGGGTTACTGAACTCCAGCCTGGGTGACAGAGCAAGACCCTGTTTCTTAAAAGAAAAACGAAAAGAATAAAAACATAACTTAAAATGCCTTGCTCATCATGGTCTTATTGGCAAAAAATTTACAAGCAATTTCCGTCACAAAATCAATCTTGCTAACAGGTCTTGGTGTGTAAATCTGGATTATCATTTGCAGGTGTGGGAAATGGAAGTACAGAAAAGCTGGATTTTAGGGTGACTTGTTATTACTTAGAGAGACTCAGGTAGAGGTGAGATGAGAAGCTACCACTCATTGGGAATATTTGATTTGTCAGGCCTCACTGCTACTGTAGTCTGGTAGAATATATTTTGAAATGTCTCTGCAACAAGTACAGAAGAGGGAATTTTTGGACCTGCCTTGGGGATTTTGACTGGAAAAGGTGACCAAGGTTGGCTGAATCCAGATTTAAAGTAAGCAGCTATTGGCTGAATGGTTGATATAAATAAAATCATTAGTTCTAGTCTCATATTTCCAGTACCCACCTTCAAAATCAGAATGTTTGGAATCTCAAAAATGCTGCCTGTCAAGGTTTTGTGCTGATGAAGGAAAGAAAGCACCACTCTTAGGAATAAGGAGTTACAGTTTTACTCTTGGATTTGCTTCTTACTTATTGAGTGATATTCTACAAGCTAATTGTACTCTCTAAGCCTCACTTTCCTCATGTGTAAATTGGCAATAATTCTCCTGTATATTTCACAGGGGGCTGATGAGACTAAACTGAAATGAATGTAAGGAGTGCTTATTAAGAACATAATTCAGGGACTTGGGCTCTTGTACAATAAATAAATCAAGCTGAAATAATGCAACCTCCTTAGAAGATCATATCCCAAATCTCTGAATTAAAGAACAAATACTTGCCACAGGAGTCAGTGTGGTCTCTCAGAAAATAAGTTAAGCAGCTTAAATACATTAAAAAGCAGGTATCATCTCAGTGACAAGTGAACTATAAAAATGAACTTATTTTTATGAGCTCTGAATACAAACTGGATCAAATGGCATCTCAAGAATTATAAGTCTAAGACCGCTCCATCCTGCTTTCTAAAAGGGTTGGGATAGATAAGTGAGCACTACTCCAGAGAGCACAAATGATACTCTATTTCCCAAATTACTGCTCACCTCAATCACATTTGCGTAGATATATTCAGGCCAATGAGTGTGCCTCAAATAATCAGAGATTCAGCCAGCTATGCCTTGATTTTCTTTTCTAGCCACAGCATTTTGTTCATGAGATTTAGAACATTATTCTATTTGAAAGCTACAAAACATTATTCATCAAATGAAGCCAATAATCAGCTACACCAAATCAAATGTCCCAAAACCATAATTTTTTTTTTTTTTGCTTCTGAAGAAAGCGGCCTTTATCGAAGTGCACAGACTGGAAGACACGAAAGCCTTTTTGTGATTAGTGGAAACTTCCTATAAAAACCCCACCAATTTCTTCACCTCCTGGCACACAGGGTATGCTAGTTCTCTGGCTTTTGCAGACCCAACTTGTAAAACCTTCTCTAAGTGGCCCTTGTCCATCTTCAGCTTTTCAATTTCGCTCTTAACTGGGGCAAATTTCTCAATCACGGCATCCGCCACCACCAGCTTGTAACGCGCAGTGTCCAGACCCGCGCTGCGGCGGACCACCTCCTCCACGGACAGCCCGGTCACCGCCGCGTGGATGGCGACCACGTTGGAGACGCCCGCGCGGCCGGCCGGGTCGTAGGTGACCTGCGAGGTGCAGTCCGTCACCGCCTTGCGGAATTTCTGCACGATCTCCTCGGGGCTGTCTGTTATTCTGACGGTAGCCAGTTTGTCCGGGTCTGATTTCGACATTTTGGCAGAAGGGTCACGGAGGGATTTCACCTTCTTCATCGATGCTAAGTAAAAACACCGACACACGCATGCCAAAAGCAAAAAAACGAAACAAAACAGACAAATCACCAGGAATGTTACTGTCTGGAGATCTTTAAAATGCCCAACAATGCCAAACGACTATTATTTTTCTCTGAGTATACAGACAGCAAATACTTAGTGTGAAAATTTCAAGCAATTTATATATGCATGGAAGTAAAGGTCATTTGAAATATGTGATAATATGTTAACACTGTTGATATTTTCAGCATCTTTTAATACATATATCCATATAAAAATGTATAATCTTACACAACGAAAATTGTGTCAGCGTATGTTTTTGCTGTGTGCACCTTTTTAGAAAGTACTGTTTATTTCTTCCCTCCTCCTCTTTTTCCTCTCTTTTTTTCCCTAGTAGTTAATCACCCCCTGTCTACAACCCCTGCCCTTCCTGTCCCCCCCAACTGATTTTAATAATCTGTGGCAATCCTTCCATTCTTTACCCAGAATTATATAAGTAATATACCAACACACACACATACACACACATGTGCACATGCACAACTTGTTTATTGCTCTGACAGAATCAAGATGTTAAGCTGTGCTACAAATCGGTGTTATAAATAACTACCTATTTTATGGCTATTACAGAAGCATATAAAATTGAAATAGGTAAAACAGTAATAGGCTAAAACATTAAAATATTACTTATTGCTAAAAGAAGGTTGATTTCAATGCATGGGGTGCCCTGAATTTATGTGTGTGAGCTGTTGGAATAACTTAGAAATTTATATCTGCCTTACATTTCTAAATTGATATTAGGCACACATTACACTCCTTTACAATGCTGTCAGCTTAATAAAGATGGACAGTAGTTAAGACATAAGATTTGCAATCGTAAGTTTGTTACTTACTTAGAATGGACTTGGGCACTGGAAAGAACTCCCCATACTTTTTGTTGAAACCTTGTGCTAGATCTTGAGCTAGTTCCATGTGCTGGACTTGATCCTCACCGACAGGAACGTGTGTGGATCTTTAATAAAAGACAGAAAAATGTAGAAAGGCTCCTTCTTAGACACAAGTGATATCACAAGCAGCTGCATTTCCTGTGCCTATTTTATTGGTGGTGTTCAACAAATGTTCGCCAACTACAGACAGAATGTTGAGACCCAAGTCTTTATCCATGTATCAGACAAATGCCAAAGAGATGTTTGTCTACTTTAGTTGTGTTTCTTCCAGAGCAGAGAAATACAGCCATCAACACCAGCATGACAGGATCCTGCTGGGAGGGAGGAATGGGATCTTACACAGCAGATGCTCTAAGCATAATTGTATTTTAAAACCACTCCACGTTCCCTCACCCAGTCAGCACGCATTATCCCAGCCTTGGCCAGATGCTTTTTACCTCAGAGCTGTGGCTAACACTTGAAAGACGCTCCACCCCACCCTTCAAATCAAAGGTGGCAGAAAGCTCTTCAGGTAAGAATTTTTCCTCCTTGACACACAGGGAGAAATTCAAGATTTTTTGGAATATGCTTCTTCATTTTCAAGTAAATTGCAATCACAGGACAGTTAATATGCTGCAGGGAACTTAAATGAACAAAATCCTTAGGTATAATGTAGATGGATCTCGAAAACAATGTGAATGCTTGAATGAAAAATGCAAACTGCAGAAAACATATAGCATACACTGACACTGATGTAAGTGTTAAAATTATATATGAAAATGCAACGTGTTATTTACAGATGCATATATCTGTAATAAGTATAAAAAATACTGGAAGCTCCTCTCCAAATTCATAATCGTGGCGGCTTCTAGAGACTGAGGGAAGGAAATGGATCTGAGGAAAGGAACAAAGGAGACCTGAACTTTATCTGTAATATTATATTTTATTAAAAATGAAGATGTGAACAAAAAAATCAGACTATAGGGAATCTATTTATAACGCTTTAATACCATAAAGTTTGCAGTGTTCGATCATGATGTGGTACATCAAATAACGAAAATGATCCTGTTTGAAAATGATCACAAGGTACCTTAAATCAAGGTCCCTTATAGTATCTTTCTTCTACCATTTTGTCCTTTATCATGTCAGCTATTAATGAATATTTGTATCAATAGTTAGCATTTATCAAGCTTTTACTGTCAAGTACTATGCTTGGTAATCCTAAAAGCAGCCATATGAGATAAGCACCGTTACAATCCCCATTTTAAAGAGGAAATGAAGGCTTAGAAAAGGTACTTGCCTGTAATAACTCGCTCCTTCTTTCACAGGACATTATTAACACATTAACTGCCATGTGAGTTGTAGTTAACTATGCTAGTTTTGAGCCCTGGGCCTCGTGAAGCACATGTAACTCACACATGTCTTTACCTTGGAAGCAGTGTGAACCATTTTTCAGGTTGCATAAAACTCACAGAAAACAATAAAAAATAATAAATTTTTCATTAAATTAGAAAGGATTGTTTTGTTTTTGAAGTTTTTATTCTATTTTTGTAATAAAACATCATGGTCCCAAGGGAAAATAATATTTTTTTTCCAGTGTGGCAGGCAATGTGTTAAACTTCTTTGATCAAGAAACCTCAGCACTTTGTTACCTGTATTATCAAATATTGAACAGTCGAGCACTAAATACTTAAAATCACCTGCTTTGTCACATAATAACATTTCAGTACAGTTTTCCCCATCAAGACTTCTCTATAATGGTCTTTCCTTATTTGATGTACCACATCATGATCGAACATTGCAAACCTTATCTATGGTATTAAAGCATTATAAATATATTCCCTATAATTTGATTTTTTTGTTCACATCTTCAAACAGGATCATTTTCCTTTTTAATTAATAGCTGTCATACCACAAACACAAATATCATAATCCCAGAGACAGTCACAGACCTGTGCAGCAATCCTGATATGGGTATTATTATTATTATTATATTATTTACAGATACATATATCTATAATAAGTATAAAAAATACTGGAAGCTCCTCCCCATACTTGAAACTAACGGTTCACATATCTGATTGGGTAATTATATAATATAAATGGTATGTTACAGGAATTCTGGGAGTTCTTTTAATTTAAGCAAAAAAAGGGACAGAATAGTGAATGGAAAGGCCAAATGCAAGGACCATGACAGTGGATCCGGGAGTGGTTTCTCTTCTTCTAAGGTCAGTAAATAAATATAGGAAATTCTACATAATGATCATTAGGACCATATCTATTGCTCTCTTCCACACAGCTGGAGCAGAAAGCCCCTGGCTCAGTGAGTGATAAAAACAAAAATGCTCCTTTTTATGTTTCCCTCAGCATCCGTAACCCTGCATGGTGCCCCTGAGATGTACATGCACATGGCCCACCTTTGCAAATCTCTCATCTTTGCGTGGACTTTCCCACTCCTGCCTTGTCATTATAGTGAGGCTGACATGCAGAGGTCACCTTGACTCCCCCAAACCAAATTAGCCAGCAGAGCAGGTTAAAAAGCAATTACAGTAGCCCATAGGAAATCACAGTGGACTGCAAATAACACAGAAAAAACAATTACCATAATCAATACACTTTAAGCACATCAAAATGAATATTTCCATATGTCAAAATGGTTCCAGATTCAGAAAGCAACCAAACTAAACAGAAAACACATTTAGTTTTCATAATGACTCTGCGTGCATCTTTGCCTGATGTCGGATCCTTGCCTCTTTTCTAACAATTCTGTGGGGTTTTGCTTTTTAAAAAAAGGATTTAAAAAATTTTAATTTTTTTCACCTGGCCTATTGCTCCACTTGGCTTTTTCATCTGATTTTAGTTTGTTTGTTTCTAGTCTTCCCTCCCTGAGCTCCTGCTGCTCCTTTCACCTCCCATAATTTATCTTGGCCTTTCCTTCTCATCCATTGAGTTTACACTTTACATTAATTCAGCCTGTCTTTGATTTTACTCACTTATGGGGCTTATTCTCTTCACATTTTCAACCACTTTCCCCATAGTGTTCCTTTCACTTCAAATAATTTAGTGCTGTTCTTTTAAAATTTATACCCTACATAATGATATCCATATTAATGTCTTCTCTTTTTCCCTATTTTCTTTCTTTTTGTACTTACCCTGACTGTGCTTTCTTAGACACAACATAAAACAAAAGTCTTTCATAATTTTGATTGTTATAACTTCTGTCACATAATAATGCCTCTGATCTTCTTTGGTGATGAAAACTATTTTTTTTTTTTCTTTTTCTTGCTTAGTTCCTTTTTGCATATACGTTTACTTGGGATCCCACCCCAGCCCTCTGGCAGAATTAGTGTCCAGATGAATAATCATTGCCTACATATATCTGCTCACAGAAACTTGTTCTCTCTCTCTCTCTCTCTTTTTTTAACTTTTTTGGGCTGTGTTTGTAAGTTTTCAGTGCTGCTGTCTTTAACCAGGAGTTTGTTGTTGCTTTCCTGTCGTAAAAGTGTTAATTTCTCATCACCGGTTGCTTCCTAGATATGCTATAATGACTCTAATTCAGCAATTACTTATTGAGGTGAAATGCCTGGTGCTGGGTACTGTGAGGGAAATAATAAAAGTTATACCTTCTAGAGATGTAAGGCCTTCAGAAGGAAAGATAACCCTGAATGAAGCCAGAAATTCTTCTGGCTAGTCCCCTTTCAATATCCCCCATCTCAGCGAACAGCAACACTATCAATCAGCTGCGTAAGTCAGAAATGACACATCACTCACATACACATCAACCCATTATTAGAAAGTCCTATTGGTTCTACCCCCTAAGTATTTCTTACATCTAACTACTTCTCTTCATCTTCACTGTCACCATCATGGTCTAAACTAGACTAGTGAAATAGCCTCTAAATAGGTTGCCCTAGATGCTTTTATCCTCCTAAAATTCATTTTATGTACTGTAATCAATTCTCTTCTAAAAGTATAAGTCATATCAAATTTACTGTGTTCTTAAAATGTACAAATAGCTTCTCACTACTTTTTGGGGAGTGTACTAGTGGACTGTCTGTTGACATCTCAATACCATTCTCTCCCTTCTATGCCATCTCTTGGTTTTCAGGGGCTAGCAGCCTGGAAACTACATTTCTCAGATGACCTTTCGGTAGTGTTCTGGTTTAGTGTAGGCACTTTGCTGATGGAGGGAAAGTGGAAAGAGAAAGAGAAAAATACCATGGCTCAGGGTATGTGGGCAAATATGTGGATATGTGCAGATGGCTGAAATGAGCAGCTTCCAGGATCTTATAACAATCCAGGCTAGGCTGGTCTCACAAAGAATGAATGTATTTCAAGAACTGGAAGTCTTCAAAGCAGCTTTAGGAACTCTAAAATTTTTAGAAAAAGCTCTCAAAAAGCTTATTTTAGATAGTCTTCAGTAGCAGTAGTCTGATCCTCAGATATTATGATGACTCACCCCTTCTCTGACTCAACCGCCTGAAGCTTCTGGCTAATCATTTTACTGTATTCTTTTTGGGTTTTGGTTTGGTTTGGTTTCTGCTTACTCAGTTTCTTGAGGCCTCCGTTACCTCACTTTTTTTCTATGTCATTTGAGCTTTTGCTTTCACTCTCTTCTTATGTTCTTCCCATATTTCTCAAATTCTTGATAAAGATAATCTGATCAGCCCAGGTGTTCACTCTCATCTCCATGTGAGTGGACTTAGTGGTACCTGTCTGAAACTTTGCATCTTTATCTGTAAAATGAGGATAACGCTGCCTACCCATTTTATAGAGCTATTGTGAGAACTGAATAACTTGTGCATGGCAGCTAGTATGGCGCCTGGCAGACATGTCAATTCTTTCCTTTCTTTTCCCTCAAGGCCATGAATAGTTCCTTTCTCTGGATCAGTGTCAATGCAGGTGATTAACAAGTATTTACTGTATATTAATAAAAACTATACATGTATGTGTGTGTCTTTATAAATACGTATATATACATATACACAAAGAGAAAGATACACATAAGCACATGTACACACATACATAGAAAGGGAGAAAGAAATATTTATTATATAGCCAGCAATTTGAAATATGGCATTCAGAAAAATAATACAGATGCAAAATGAAAACTATGAACACTTGCTATTCAAGTATTTTATTTTTCTTCAAATATATGCTACTTATCATACTCTCAAACTAAAAGTTTTCTCAGCTCTCCATTCCTGGGTTCTGTACCAAGTTCTGCCAAAACAGTTACATAAATCATTTATAAACTTATCTGAAAGACTCCTTTTCTATTCCTTTCCCTTATGTTTGTTTTCTGGCCAACCATCTAATCATCGAATGCTGATTTTGATAAAAAGCAAACACTAAATTTATATTTGACTTGCATCAATATTTTATGAAGAGGTCACACACAGATTGGCTGATAGAAAAAAACACAAATGTTTTATCCATCCTTCAATCTATCATCCAACCTATCTATAAAGAAAATATTCATAAACATTCTGGCTATGACCTTTTTCAAAATCCAGAAATACCTGAAACCAAGCAAAATAAGAACAAATGAAAAATAACCCCAAGTGCTTGATCTCTGTTACAGGGAAAACAACTGTATAGGCTAAAAATCAGAGCTGGGTTTCAATTCTGCTTCTGCTACTTATTATCAAGCAACTAGGAATTTCTAATATTGAGACGAAACATGAGACAGAGGAGAAATGCACCTTAGCAGAAAAAGTACTGTAGACTCATAATCATGCCCTGAGGTTGCACCGTCCACTGACTGGCTACATAACTTTGGGCAAGTTGCTTAACCTACTGGTCTGCACTTGTAAAGCAAGGACATTAAAGAAGAAGCTCCTTGCAGCTCCTTCCCACTCTATGCCCCATGGTATCATAAAGAGGGCATTCATTCTTGTTAAAGTTTACTCTTTTCCACAGACCTGAGCTCAGAGAACTCTCCCATTATAGCTGTTGAACTGTTAGGGACATCTACCATGTTCATGTGTTTTCCTATTCTGGTGCTGAAAAGTCTCAGCTTTTGGTTGTTGTTTGTTTGTTTTGTTTTGTTTTGCTGTTTTTTTTTTTAGAGACGGGGTCTCACTCAGTTGCTATTAATAGACTTGAACTCCTGGGTTCAAGCAATCCTCCCACCTCAACCTCCCTAGTAATTGGGACTGTAGGTACGTGCCACAACACCAGGCTAGACAGTGGCTCTATAAAGTAGACCTTGAAAACAAAATTAAACATAAGATTGTAATCATCAAAGACATAATTATCAGCAATCGTGCCCAAATAACAACTCCCACTCACAGCACTGCCTGGCCCATATTTCATTTTAATCCTCTAATAATTATTCCCATTTTATTGGTGAGAAAATCAAGATTCTTCACAGAACCTTTTAAAGTAAACAACGTACTCCTTTAGGAAATATATTATTAAGACTTTCATTAGACTTTGATATGCTACCTACTAGAGAAAAGTGTTCTAGACGTCCCCAAATAAGTCACTTATTACAAATAATAAATGTTATCAAAAGTCCAGCATTCAAGTTAATAAAACAAACAGATAAATAATCCCTTTAAGTTTTAATTAGAATTAAAGATAGGCTACATGTTCCCATGGACATTCCCTATTTGTAGAGTTAAGCAGCTACTCTTCTGGCTGTTTCCATCCTAACTGCATACTGTTATTTCTAAGCTGTTATCAGACTTACATGCAAAGAATTCCAGTTCTCCTAGGGAAGAATTGGGGCTTTAGGGAAAGGGGGTACAAAACCACTAATGGAGTTTCTTTTCCTCCAGAAGCTTTCACAGCAGCATGGCTAAGACTATAAACACACATCAGTTGGGAGGTTTTATCTCTAGAAAGCCAAATGGGAGACAAGGGAGGCTGCTGAGGGGTTAGCAGGGAAGAACTGGGAGGGGGATGAGATGGGAAGCCCTGACCAGCAGCACAGGGGTCAGCATCCTTGCTTGTATATTTCTGACGCCTTTAAGTGGTGGCAGTAGCTGACTGTATGGATTATGGGTCCAGGAAGAATAAGGATATTATTTTTTAAAAAAACTTACTCTCAATACAGTAGCTACTAGCCAGAGGTGGCTATTTAAATTTAAATTAATTAAAATTAAATAAAATTTAAAATTCAGTTCCTCCATGGCACTAGCAACACAACATTTCAAGTGCCCAATAGATACCTGAGGCTAGTAGCTACAGTATTAAAAAACAAAGATATAGAACATTTCCATAATCACAGCAAGTTCTACTGGACAGTATTGTTTTAGAGTCTGGATTATCTAAGAAATCAACATTTAAAACACATGAAGCTCCATTATTCCTGGAGAAATATCCATGGCATAATGGTTAAGAGCACAGGCTCTGCACTCAAAACTTCCTGGACTCAAACCCTGCCTCCCAGCCTTGCTAGCTATATGACTTTGGGCATGCTAACCACTCTGTGTCTCAGTTTTCTCATCTGTAAAATGGGGATGATAACAGTGCAAACTTTAGAAAGTTTTTATGAAGGTTAATATGCATAAAGCACTTATAATGGTTTCCAATACATACTAAGTACTATTTAAATGTTATTTCTTGATATTATTAGTTTCTCATTGAAACATACTTTAATAATCTAACACCTATTATTGGGGAATAGATACAAACTGATTTATGTGTTTGATCCTTCCTGCACCCCCTACCCCACCCCACCCCACCCCACCCCACCCATGCCTTTGTTGGATAGGTTAAAACGCTGTCTTGTCATCATAAGTATGGATAAGATCAGAGTGGACTCTCTTCTTACTTGTACAACAGAATGTCAGCTGCCTGGAGTACAGGGTACGTGAGCAGGCCCACCGTTCCATCGTGCTTCTGCTGGGCAGTCTTGGCCTGGAGGGGGTGAAAAGAGAGGAGGGGAAGAAATCTGACTTAAACCTAATTAAATTGCTAAATTAAGAAATTTTTAAAGCAAGCAAAGTATGATCTAAAGCCACCTGTAATAACATTCTATCTTAGTTCCTTTTAGCAACTCTAGCCATCTTCTTCTGGCAGGCTTGCCTTCATGCTCCAGGATTAGGTAGAAATAAGGTGAATCCATCTCACCACTGCCCCTTTGAAGGGTCCTGCACTACCACTATCTCTTATTCATTTTATTAAAATAAGGACATAGGAGTTTTCTAGGCTCTGAATCGGATCAATTCCAGATTTCACAGCCAAGGTAATAAGTTCTTATGAAATTAAATTTTTACAAATTAACAGGAGTTAACATCAAAAGCCCTACTATATATTAGTAGAAACCTCCCAGAAAGTCTTACACCATGCTACTGACAAAACTGGAATGTTCTCTTAAGATCACATTAAAAAAAATAATAACAACAACAAAAAAGCATGACACTTAAAAAAATGAAACTAAATAAGAGAAATTTTAATCTAACCAATCCTAATTTAGGCCTGTCTTGATCTTTAGGTGATTAAGCACACTGAGGCAGTGAGGGTAAAGTGACTTCAATGATCAGTACAGGTTGTACAGACCAAAATATTTCTTTACTGGAAAGTTGATGGAAACACCAGAAATGACAGTAGAAATACTTAATAACTGGTGAGCAAATGGACAACTATAAACTGCTAGCATGTACCCACTGACCATGTGCCCCAGCCATGCTAATTCTCTTGCTGCAGCTGAACATTGCTGACATGTAATTTGTTTCTCTGAGCAGAGCTATTTATCACAAACAAATATTGTGTGCTGTTCCAGGGCCTGGGTCTACTAGCTCTTACAGATCAAGAGGATATTTTGGGGTATAGATAAATCTTATACGATTAGTTAATATGAATCACTTATCTTAAGTGTAATTATTTCTGAATGAACAATTCAATTTATAAACTTGCACGATTCCAGGGACCAAGCTCACAAGTCCACAACTCAGACTTCTCCCACCAATGTGCAGACACAGCCTTTAAGGCCCAGTCTGAAAATGCAATAGCTTCTCTCTTTAGCCACCTTAATTTCACTGTTTTGTAATCTACTGACAAACTTAACTTTTCTGGTTATACTTCAAGTGGTTTCCAGCTTACAGCAACCAATGCTACAATAAGCCATTCAAAGGAAATTTGAAAGTTTGAACATATAATTCTTCAGTACATCTCCCAATTATAATGTCCATGATAAGGGCTAGTTCACAATTAACACCAGGTAAAGATAATGAAAGTTTAATTTGGAAATGAGGAAAGGGGAAAAGAATTCAATGTTTAAAAGTTGCTACTGCATTAAGTTTATACTCCCTCTATATCAGTATACTGGACCTTAAAATTACAATGGAAGAAGGGAGGTGTGGAGAACATTAATATTTATTGAATGCCTATTATGTGCCCCAAATGCCTTGCATGTATGTTACTGCTTAATCCTCCAAATAACCCTGGCCTCAGCAGCCCTGACCCCTCTTCCACATCACCGTTCCACTCCTCACTGTCCTAATCAAAACAGAGCTGAGTGTTCCTATCAGATCCTCTCACAACACTAGAATCCTGCCCTCAGGGCACTTTTCACACTTTCTTATTACTTGTTTAATTGTCTCTTTCCCAAATACACTACTCGCCTCAGGAAGCCTCTTGTTGACTTCTGTATCTCCAGCACCTAGCATGACATGAGACTCAGAAAGAATCACAAGAAGAAATCACCAGAGGAGGCAGCAACATGCCCTAGGATAGGTGGGATTTGATATCCGTGTTTTTCCTACAAATAAGAAATCATGAACTAGTGGAAAGGCTTTTCCAGAATACCAGTGTTTTCACTAGTAATGTGTTAGGGGTTCCTTAGACGCTATTTTTAAGTGGCAACAGTTCCTATTAAATTACTATTCAGTTCCTGCACAAAAGGATTTCAGCATTAAACTTAGTGGTAGAATATTATGACAAAATGGGAAAGTCTTGCCTAAAACCAAAACATGATGGAGAACATTATGAAATTTAGTTTCTAATTCCTGGCACGTAATGAATCTGTAGCATTACCAATACTGTCTTATTTATTTAGAGTCTTCTTCCCTTGGGGCTGGAATAACAAAATACCACAGACTGGGTGGCTTATAAACAACAGAAACTTGTCTCTCACAGTTCTGAAGGCTGGGAAGTCCAAGATTAAGGCACAGTCAATGTCTGGTGAGGGACCCCTTCCTGGTTAGTGGATGGAGCTTTCTAGCTGTGTCCACACATGACTGACAGGGCTCTCTTGGGCTTCTTTTATTATATAAGGGCTCTAATCACCTTCATGAGGGCTCCATTTGCATAACATAATCACTTCCCGAAGGCCCTACCTGCTAATACCACCATCTTGGAGGTTAGGTTCAAACGTATGAATCTGGGGTAGGGAGGGGACACCCACATCCAGAGCATAGCATTTAGGCACTGTCATTTTAAAGCTCTGCCTGCTTCTTTCTGTAGCACAAGTGATGGCTTCTAAAGACCAGCTCTTGAGGAAACACATGGTGCTGAAAATATGCTTGAAAAAAGCTTGAAATTGGAATTAGTGTTGACGTAGCTGGGGACTACCTACCCTGGGGTTATCCGATTGCAAAAATAAATGCAAGTAAAGTACTATGAATTATCCAATTTCTCTTTCTTGGTTGAACTCCTTAGAAAAAAGTACAGCTTTACTTTTTTTGTGAGTTTGAACTGTTGCCTGGACTCAACTTGTTTAAATGTTAAATAAAATATGTTGTCTCTTCTCCTCCCAATGAAAACATTCTTTCCTTACTGCCAGTTAATTCCAGTGAGGTAGGAGGCAACTTACTCGCATTCAGTAATCCAGAATTTGTGATCGTGCGTTAATTGCTAAATATAATGTGATAGGTTCAAAATCATTACCAAGTCTATCCAAAGTGAACTCTGATTAAACCATACACAGATAAAAACAAATAATTAATGCCTTTTTTTTTTAAGTTGGAAGGAATCTTGGGAAACCCCTTTGTTCTGTTGAATACCCTGAAGCGGAGAGGTTAAAGATGCTGTCCCAGCCATCAGTGAGCAGCAGACCAGAGAGGAGAGTAAACTCAGCATTCCCAGAGCCTAACACAAAAATAAACAGGATGGGAAAAATAGTTTCCTTTCTGTCTATCAATCAGATCACTGGCATTTACCTTCCACTGGTGTAAATGTTGTAACCGAGGTAATCTGACCATGCAGGAAAGGATCCAACTTAATTGTGTGTGTTCAGGTACCTAAAGAAATAAAACAGAACATTAACAAAGGTGGTGAATGTTTTCTTGCATATAAGAAAAAACTAAACAGGCAAGTGTTATGTTACCTGAAATGGCTGAAAATATCTCAAAATCAAGGTTATTAAAAGAAAGGTAAAGGGGGCTTAGCTCTGATTCATGATGCATAGACTCTAAGAAGAAGAAATCATAAAAGCCGGTGATATGATTACTAATCTAGTGTTTCAATCCTCTCCAAAACATCCCTAGCAAGTGGGTAACCAGATTCTGCTTCAATATCTTCAAACAAAAGGGTTTCATTATGTCCTGAGGCATCTATTCTATCTTTAAAAAGCCAACGTTGGCCAGGCACTATGGCTCATGCCTATAATCCCAGTGCTTTGGGAGGCCAAGATGGGAGCATTGCTTGAGGCCAGGAGTTTGAGACCAGCCTGGGCAACATAGTGAGATGCTGTCTCTACAAAAAATTTTAAAAATTAGCCAGGTGTGATGGCACACACCTGTAGTACCAGTGACTTGGGAGGCTGAGGTGGGAGAATCACTTGAGCCCAGGAGTGCAAAGTTGCAGTGAGCTATGATGGCACCACTGCGCTCCAGCCTGGGCAACAGAGCAAGAGACCCTGTCTCTAAAAACATAAAATAAATGAAAATTTAAAAGTAAGTACATTTTTTTTAAAGCCAAGCTTATTAAGGAGACACACATACACAAACATACTCACACACACTGGTTCTAAGTCCTCTCTACATAACTTCTAAATATATAAAAGCAGCTATAATACCTTACATGCAAATGGTAGAGAAAAGTACTGGGCTTAAAATTAAAGATTGAGCTCTTTAGATCTAGAATGATTTGAAAGTTAGGAATCACTTGACCATCTCATCATCCAAAGGAATATGTTTATAGTTTCTAGTTCTGCTGCTTCCTTTCTTTTCTTCTTTTTAAGAGGCGGTCTAATCATCAACACCACCAACAACAAAATAGAAACTTTCCCAAATTTGTTTTTAACAAAATTTAATCAAGTAAACAAACCTGGCAACAACCGGGATGATTCATGGGCCCAGGCCATGCTCTGATGACCTAGAATTTAAGTCCTATGCATCTCATTTTTGTACCCTGGGCATTCCTAACCCTTCATTGATCGTGGCTTTTTTGTGTCCATATGATTTCCTTAAAAAGCAGAGCCTGCTGCCAACTCTGAAAAGTAGCCCCAAATGTGTTCTCTGTGGGTTTTACAAAAGGAGCATAAAGGAATGGAGCTGCATCAGCCGAGGCCTATTTTACTAGCAAGGAATTGCCATCTGGTGTAAGATAGTCTCTTATTTTTTTTCCCTGAAGTTATAGAGAGGGAAGAGTTGTTTTTCACGTGTTTGACAAGGAATCACTTTTAAAGTTTTGCAAGTCCCTGGGCTGAATCTGTCATCTTTCTTCCAAGAAGCATTTGGGTTTCATTGAGGGCAGTGACTCTGACAGCACTGTCCATGCAAATTGCTAACTGCTGCTGTAAACAAACAGCTCTCAGACAAAACCAGCAACCCTGGATGGAAGCAAGCAGATCAGTTACTTCCAGTCATCAAGAAAAACACATTCCCATTAGAACTAATAAAACAAGAACTGGTTTTTGGCATGAATAAGTAGGAGAGAATTTTTTCTTTTTATTCTTTATTGAATGGGGGGAAAGGAATGAAAACAGAAAATAACCATGGACATGTGGAGAGAGACAAGATGACGCCTCTTTAACTCTGGCTCAACTGCTTAGCTTTGGTGATATGCAAAAAGCTACCACCATGTCTCCATGAAATCAAGTATTTTCCTTGGAGTGGCTTTTTATTTGGACATATGGAATGAAACTTATTTAATATTCTGCAGAGATCTTCCTGGTGTTTCCAAACTAGGGAGCATACAATTAATTCAAATTATCCTCATGCAGAAAAAGTAGGTAAAAGGTCAATGACAACTATATTTTCATAATTCTTCTTTAACAATTACATAAAAAGGGTGGTATATTCAGGATTTGGTTCTCTTTCTTTATTCATATTCATGACAACTGCTTGGAAAGTTTCAGATTTCTACTTGGGGGGGGAAAGTAAAAATGGTATCTTAAATATAATATTTTCTGACTTACGTTGTGAAACCACAAGCAAACTATATAACCTGTTTTAGCCACAGAAAAACAAAGGCATGGAACAATAAAGTGGCATATTGACTATCTACAAACAAGTCAGCGGCGAAGAGTAGAAAAGAACTGAAGATTTCGGACTTTCTAACTGAAACAGGTAATGACATGTGCACTCTTCAGTTACAGCAGTTTGGCCTACTTTGTTCACTGCTAGAAAACATAGCCTGGTACATTGTATGTGCTCAATAAATATTTGTTGAATGTATGAACAATACTAAAGGCTTCAGAAAAAATATGGCCATTAGATTTGGCAACTGACTTGGCAATCCAGGCAAAAGCAGTTTCAGAGGAGCGATTGGGATGGAAGCTAAATCATAGTGGGCTGAAGAGTGAGACTAGGAGGCAGGACATGAAGACAGGTATGCAGGAAGCATAGCAGAGTAGTTAAGAACTCTATCTTTGGAGGGAGGTTGCCTGGGTCTGAATGCTAGATACACCACTTATTACCTGGGGGACCCTGAGTAAGTGACTTAACCTCTTTCAGTGCCTCAGTTTTGTCATCTATTAAAGGAAGTTAACAATAACATCCACTCAACAGTGCTTAAAACAGTACCTTGCACATAATAAGTACTCAGTAATGGTGGTTATTATTATTATATTAATAAATGATTTTCAGAAATACTTTTTAAGATAATTGTATATTCACATATAAGTGGCCCGTTTTTTTTAATCTACAATATCTTTTATTTTTATTTATTTATTTCAGAATATTACAGGGGTACACATGTTTTGGTTACATAATTTGCTTTTGTACAGTTTCAGTCAAAGTTATAAGTGTGCCCTCCACCCGGATAATGTGCACTGTACCTGTTAGGTGTGAATTTACCCATCCCCTCCTTTTCCCTCCCACTTGCTTGATTTCCATTGAGTTTTACTTCCATATGTGCACATAAGTGTTGATCAATTAGTTCCAATTCAGTATTGAGTCCATGTGGTGTTTGTTTTTCCATTCTTGCGATACTTCACTTAGAAGAATGATCTCTAGTTCCATCCAGGTTGTTACAAAAGATACTAGATCACCATTTTTTTAATGACTGAGTAGTACTCCACGGAATAACATATACCACATTTTACTAATCCACTCATGTATTAATGGGCACTTGGGCTATTTCCACATCTTTGCAATTGTGAGTGGTGCTGCTATAAACATTCAAATGCAAGTGTCTTTTTTTATAAAATGTCTTTTTTTCCTTTGAGTAAATACCTAGTAGTGGGATTGCCGGATTAAATGGCAGGTCTACGTTTTGTTCTTTGAGATATCTCCATACTACTTTCCATAGAGGTTGTACTAGCTTGCAGCCCCACCAACAGCGTGTAAGAGTTCCTTTTTGATAAGAGCCATTCTCACTGGAGTGAGGTGATAACTCATTGTGGTTTTGAATTGCATTTCCCTGATGATTTGAGACTTTGAGCATTTTTTCATGTGCTAGTTGGCCATTATAAATCACATCAGTTCTCTGTTCAAAATCCTTCACTTACTTTCCATTTCCTCAGAGTAAAAGCCCAAGTCTTCATAATGGACTATCAGATGAGGCACTATTGTCTCGTCTCTTTCAATACTGTAACCTTTGTGATTCAAACCCTACCCATGGACCCCTCTGTCCCTCTTCTCCAGCCATTCTGGCTTTCTGGTATTCCCTGAACACATCAGGTACACTCATACCTTAGGGGCTTCATACCTGCTCTTCTCTCTGATAGGAATTCTCTCAAAAAAATATTTAATTAACAAAACAAATACAGGATAGCATGATCCCAAAAGATATAGCTGCCAGGTATCAATCGAACCTATTCAAGCAATTAGCTAGTTCAGTAAACCCAGGATCAAATCTCTGTGTCTCTTAGGGTTTTACTTTTTCCCATATAAATGTTATCTTCCCAGGAATCAGGCCCTATAAGTTTTAGTTAGGACACTTGGAAGACTATTCAGACTCACAAACTCCCATTTATTGCTTCCTCTCGGAAACGAGCAATTTCATGCTGTTATTTTTATTAGACTCTTATCATCCCCATGACAAATCTCCTTAACAGAAACCTTGTTTGGAGTTCTGATTTTAATTAAAAGAACTCTGTATCAATGATAAACGCCCACTCTCTTCAGCTGGTCTGCCTCCTGTCAGTACTTGTGTTTGCCAATGAACATCTGTACCTATTTGGAGTTCCCTATACTTTTTCTTAGTCTAAGACTTCCAAAGCTAAATAAACAGCTTCCATCAGCCTTTTCTGCCTTAAGAGTCACACTCAATCTAAATTCTGTTGCTTATTGTGTGTGTGTATGTGTGTTTCTTTATCTGTAGCAATACATTCATCAGCTTCTGCTAGGCTATACTGGGTAAGAAACAACCCCCAAGTTTAAGGGGCTTACAGAAATTGTCTCTTTCTTATTCACATTATATATTGATATCTATAGATTGGCTATAACTCTGTTTTACATATCTTTTCATTACAGGACCCAAACTGAGCAAATGGCCTCTTTGTGGAATACTCCATTATTCTTGTATCAGAAGGAAAAACAGCAAGAGAGCTAGAGCAAACATGGAATGGCTTTTAAAGATTCTTCCTGGACATGGTATATATCATGGCCCCTCACTTTCCATTGGCTAATGCAAGTCCCATGGACAAGCCCAACATCAGCAGGGTAGGAAGAGATACTTCTCCCACAAGATGCTCAGTCAGTGACACAGCAATGGGTGGAGACATATCCTACTTCTAAACAGGAGTTGGCAAACTACTGCTCTTAGTCCAAATCTGGCTATGGACTGTTTCTGTTCCACCCATGGGCTAAGAATGTATTTTTTATGCTTTATAAGGGTAGTCAAATTTTAAAAA